GGGACAGGTGTCCTGGTGAAAACAAGCAAGTTCATCCTCCTGTGCTCTGTGCCCTGCTGCCCTGATTTGAGACTCAGAAAATATGGTTTCCCTATCCATGGGTACCTTGGGGAACACTAGTTTCTAATGCAATTAAATGTAAGATCACTAAAACAGTACATTTAAAAAAAATCCTTGAACATGTAGAAAACGGAAGCTGAAAGATTCCAGCAGTAAGGCACAAACTAAAGTACACGGTGCTTATCTATTAACATTTTATCAAACAATAGAAATTTATAGAAGTATTCGGTGTTACCGTTAACTCTGTTTTTACTAAATCTAGTGTGCTATCTAAAAGATTATGTTAATTTTATTCAGCTTTTTCATGCCACCCCCCAAACGATCATTGAGTATACAGTATCTAGTTAGTAGTTCTGATTTTAAAAATATCTGTCTGCTCACATTAAGTTGAAAAACGATTTAGAAACTAGTTTTGTTGTATACCACCTTCTGGGAATTCTGAAGGTGATGTTATAAAAATCGGGTAGACAATGCCAGGGTTTCCTTTGTTCTTCTGGAGGTCTAAGCCAAAACTAACCAAAAAGACTCCTGTTGATTTATGTAGGCTTTAGGTTGGCATAGATGGATTTTAAATTTTAATTTAATCAATTTTAATGAACTCTTCCATTTTATTTCAGTATTTTTTCTTATTGGTTTATGTAATCATTAAAATATTTACATTTTACACTTAACTAAAGTCTTCACACTAGGTAGGCCTGATACATTTTTGCTGCCTAAGATGGCACACTAGCTCTGTACACTTATCCAAGTAATTATATAGCTTTTTAGAAAATGGTGACTTATGTATTGCTTATTTACTAGGCAATTTTGCTTATAATTTGTATCAAGCAGCTGCATTAGAATGGCAACTAGAATTTAATTAAACGCTTATTTAAAAACACCATCTAATTTTTTAAAAAGTAAATATGCTTAAGTGTTTTGGATACATACATTTCTACGTTGATTTGGAAACTGAGTCAGATGCAGCTTGGGTAGGGAGAATCTATAAATTAGGAGTATGAAGTCACCCACTTCAACTTCAGTGCCCAGTAGTATGATTTCTAGGTTCTCCACAGAATAAAGCATTTAATACAGTATCTGACCTGTTGCGCCATATTTATAACATTTGACCTCAAAAGTAAAATGTCCTGCCACTGTGTTCTTTGTGTACACAGAAAAGCACGCAGCCTCTGACTCAGAGTTTTTGATAGGTCATGGGTTCAGCATATTTATTGTTTATTTAAATGTTTTAAGAGGCTACCATAACTTAAACCTTTAACATAATTTGCAGTAAATGCATACTTCATCTTAAATAATTTTAAAAATAAAAGCTTATTTAAATAAGGGAAATCCCTAAGCTTATTTTTTTTACTATTATTTGAAAAAAAAATAGATTTGCCATTCCTGCCTACATGCTGGTGAGGGAGTACGAAGCAAGGAGGGAAAGAAGTAGCTCCCAGTGAGTTGTTCAAACATCTAGGCTTTTAGAGGAACAAAGATTAAGAGAACTGATTTGAATAGCTTCTGTATTTTTTCCAACATATTTTAATAGCATTAGCAGCTTTCTAAAAGTTTAATTTAATTTTAATAACTCTTAACTTATTGTGCTGATTTCCCTAGGTTCCAAAGGGAATTTACACAAGGTGTAAAGCCAGACTGGACTATTACATGGATTGAATACCCACAGCTACTCTAATACATTTTTTTGACAATTACTTTTATGGACCCTTAGTGTACGGGCAAACCAGCAAGATGCCAGGATGTTTTTGTGTCCGTGTTTTGTAGATTCATTTTTGTATTTTTAATTTCCAGAATTAGTTTTTTCAATTTACAGTACCAGCTCAGTTGCTCTGAAAGCATAACAATAAAGCCTTTTCCACAAGTCTCTGCATCATCACAATACAAATTTAATTTGCAATTGGTCTCTTCAGCAGCATTTGTGAGAGCCTCTGTTCAGTTTGCATTAACTGAGTTATAGACCAGTGTTACAGGTACGTTTATATGTTGTATTCTAAGAAGAAATTCTTGCGTTACTAGAATATAACTTGTGCAACGCACAAGCTTCCATCATGGCAAAGCAACTCTTCCAGGATAATACAACATAATAGACAACCAAATGAAATTATTAAAAGGGAGGGCAAAACTTAGAAAGTAGACATTGATGAAGTAATAGCAGATTACAAATCAAACAGGCTTGGAATGTCATCTGAAAGGTCCTTCCTCATGTGGATTCCATATTTGAGGGCATCTGATCACAAAGTGAAGTGATAGAGATCCATCCATGGGGCCTGGTGTACTTGCCTATTACCTTACTTATTCCAAGGTGAGTTCTGATCTGCCCCCTTCATGTACTGGCATATCTAGTTTGGAGAGGAAGTAGTGGGATTTCTGAAGCAAGCTAAAAGTAACAAAACTAACTGCTGGAATGCGGAAAAATGTGATTTGAGAAAACTAGAAGAATTCAGGATATATACATCAGCTAAACAAGAATTGGTAAAAGCTGTAGTATTGTATAGAGAGGTCAAGGGCTATTTTAAGTAGAATGCAATCAAAAAAGGGAGCTTGTGTCTGAATAAAACTAAAACTTGTTCCAGGATTGTGGTTACACTGCAACAGTATTTCAGATTAATTGAAGCCTCACTTCTTGAAATACTTATTTGGAACTAGCAATAGAGAGTATATTAAATAAGCTTATCCTTCATTCTCCAAATAGGACACATCAGGATATTTTCAGCAACGTTTTAGTCCATTCATGTTGTGTAGTGCTAGAGGGAAATCTTCTCTACCTGCAGAAGCCCTAGGAAGATGGTATAAATTAAGGTGATTTTTTTTCAACATAGCTAATCCTATGTGTTGGGAATTCAGACCTCTGACCATTGGCTCCACTGAAGCATCATGAAAAAGGAACTTCAGACGGGTATGGCAGACTTCAGGAATAGTTTCTAAACTTCTGCTTCAGTCTGACATTGGTCAGAAAGGATGTTATCTAGAGTAGTATAACAAAATACCAAACTTTTGTAGAGAGCACTCTAGTTTTAAGACTTTTCATGCCAATAAGAGATGTTTAAAGAATCATCAAAAAGAGGCATACCTTTCAGCAGAAATAGAGGTAGAAATCAGGTTTTTTTACTTAAGTGTTTTGTTCATTAAAATGTTGATTTAATGTTACTGGGTTCTAATTTGGTAATAATGCTGTACTTTTAGGAAAGTACAAGAACCTTCCTAATGGAAGTAGATAACACTAAGTGGGGCTTAATGTTTTATGTACAGCCTCCTGCTTTCAGTATTAGGGCTTAGCAAGATTTAATTTTGGTGCTCTTCCCTAATCATTATAAAATGTACTGCAAATTGCTTTCTAGTTTGGCATTGAGGCAATGACCAAATAAATCTGAAAGTGCATTTAATTTACTGAGCTAGAATTAAAACTATTTAACAAATGAAGAGCATCTGTGAAATTAAGTTGGAAAGATGGGCTTATGTTCTAGAATCAGCCGAGAAAACAAGCACCGCTGAAGGAAAGTCAAGTCACTTGAAAATATAGTGGTTGTCTGTTTGTCTCCCTCCACACATCCCTCCCCCTCCATGAGTCTATGTTATAGAGTTAGTAACATATCCATGCTGATTTGTGAAATGTCTATGCCAAGGAAAGACCAAAAAGGCTTCAAGAATTTGGACAAGTGTTCTTTTTCTCTCTCTCAAAGGGAGAGAGGGAATCACTGATTGGGAGCACATATCAGCTGTTGTGATCTAACTGTTACAGCTACGTGATCCTGTAGCTAAAATTGCTGATGTTGACCCTGAATTAAACGGGGTTAAAGTTGAAGCAGTTTTGCTCCTTTTGGGTAGGGACAGAAGTTACACGTAAGTGATTGGAAACTAGTTCAAGTCTTTAACACAAAAGGGCTAAGTACAGACATTCAAAAATCCTGAGGCTGAATCAATTTAATCTTCACAGGTTAGTTTAAACTGTGAAGATTGAACCAATAAGCAACTGAACAGACATTCTCTTTTGATTCTGGAAATGCAGCCACATGTCTGTAGTGGCTCAAGCCAGAAGCCGGGGGGTGCTAGAACATGCCTTCCTGGCTGGCTGGAGTATACAGCTTGGGCCAAGGCTACTCTGCCCACCCTGCAAGGGGGGAGCAGGGGGATCTGTGGGGAGGTGCAAAGCATCATGGGATCTTAGGGGACTGTGAGTTAACTTCAGTCTGGAGGGCATCTGGGACAGAATTCAATAAGCCAATTTAACCTAAACAGTTGGGTCTGATACTAGATCCATCCAGGTTTCTCTTAAACTGGTTTTGGCCGTTTTGAAAGCAGTTATGTGCACTGAATTTCTGTTGTGTTACAGATTTGAACTGGTTTCCAATTGCTCATACTGGTTTACGTGTAACTTCTGTCTCTAGCCAAGAAGTTCAGTGCACATAAGATGGTTTCAGCCATTTTGAAAGTGGCTTAAGACAAACAACCTCCCACTACTCCAGCAGAGAACATAAATCGGGGGGGTTAGGTATTCCCCTTTCCCTCCCCCACCTTCTTCCCCCTGCAGTTCCTTTTCTTCCGTTCCTTACTGTCAACCCTGTTCTCCCCGAGCACGTGGAAGCGAGAGGCAAATTTGAAAACACTTGATATTAAAATAAATACAACTTACCATATAGGCAAATTATTATAGGTACCCATAGACTTTGTGAATCCAGAATTGATGCATTTTACGTTTTTTTTTAAACTTGCAAGTTTTAGTACAGGTAGTTCATGAACACACTTTTAAGCACTTTTGTACTGACTTTATATAGTACAGTCTACACCTGATATTAGTCGAAAAGGCTCATGATTCACCACACAGTTCCTCAGGCTAGGCCCCAGCAGTCAACAGCATTTCTCAGCACTGTATGTGTGTGCGCTGCAGAGGACACCCCCCACACCCCATCCATGTGCTAATTAGCCCCCCATTTATGACTGGAACTGGGTGCTCTTGAGTCCTGGGATCCTCTGAAAAATGATGTGCAGATGAGGTGCAGGGCAACCTAATTATGCAACAGGCTGAGGGGGTAACAGAAGGATTTTGGGTGAACTGTTTGTGGCCCCATTCTATGTTTGCCAGACATTTAAGGCAAATATGGAGTTAAGGAGTCATCGCCTTCCTGGATCTTCCAGAAATTTACGACATTGCCTCCAGTGCACTGAATGTCCAGATGGAAACTGTATAAGAGAAACCAAACAACAATTGCGTACCAGAACGAGCGCATGCTGAAATCTATCAAAGGCAAAAATACCTAATTACCTGTGGGTGCACATTTCTCACAAGATAACTACTCTCTTTCCAGTCTCTCAGTTGTAATCCTCAAAGGGAATTTACAAAACACCTTTCTTAGACAAGCCTATGAACTTCATAAATCTGCTGGATACAAAAAATTATGGACTAAATATAGACATTGGATTAGTGGCACATTTGTTATTTGTCGTCAGCAGTCCCTCAAAGTTGAGAATGACGTCCATCAGGCTTGATTGGGTCCTCAGGGGACTGAGGAGTCCAATTCTGGATACACATACTCTGGCAATGGGGATGTTGCGCAGGGTAGTGGGATTTGCAGCTCCAGTTGGTCTCCTCCTTCCTCTGCTTCCACCATTCCGCCTCAGTATCAAGTCATTGGGCCTCAAAGTGGTGCACACCTTGGTGGAACAGGTGGTGCCACACCGAATGGTCAGCAGCTTGCTCCTTCCAGCTGTTGGTGTCAATGCTTCCATGCTTGAGGGTGACCTTGAGTGTGTCTTTGTACCATTTCCTTTGGCCGTCCTTTGAGCGTTGGCCAACGGGAAGCTGGGAAAAGAGAATCTGGTGAGGGAGGCAGTTCTTAGACATCCAATGCAGTGGCCCATCCGTCAGAGTTGATTTCTCAAGAGCAAGGCTTCAGTGCTGGTGGATGCAGCTTCATGGAGAACACTTGTGCTGGTATGGCAGTCCTCCCACTTGATCCCCAGGATTTGATGCACGCACCGGTGGTGAAATCTCTCAAGGGTCTTAACGTGGCGTTGGTAGATTGTCCAGGTTTCACTGCAGTAGAGGAGGGTGGTCAGCATGACCGCCTTGTAAACCAGGACCTTAGTTGACTTCCAAAGGTCTCTATTTTCGAAGACACATCACAGCTTGAAGGTGACACTGGCACAGTTGACCCAGTACTAGACTTCTTTATCGATGGTAGCCCATTAAGAGAGGTGGCTGCCAAGATACGGAAAGTGCTCTGCGTACTCCAGAGCCTCCCTGTCTGTGTAGATAGTGCAAGGGATGTTCAGCTGGCCTGGGGAGGGTTGGTGAAGAGCCTTTGTCTTCAACATTCAAGGACAGGGCAAGTCTCTTACATGAAGTGTTGAAGAGCTCTAACATTGTTTGCACATTGTGTGCAGAGAGCCATCACGCACCAATTGTCTGCAAATTGAAGGTGTTAGGTGTCTTTGGTGGTGAGTTTTGTTTTTGCCCAGAAGCACTCAAGATTGAAAAGCTTCCTGTCCAGTCAATACTGGATACTGATGCTGGATGGTGGATCATATCAGATAGGTGGATAATGATGGTCAGGTAGATGGTGAATAGGGTGGGGGCAATCATGCAGACTTGTTTGATCCCGGTCTGGATGCAGAAGGCATCAGTTTCAGATCTTCCACTCAGGACAGTGGCAGGAGCCTCAGCATGCTGACGAACTTCAGTGGGCAGCCAAGGCATTGGAGGATGGTCCACAGAGCTTCATGATTTAAGGAATCTAATGCCTTGGTCAGGTCAATGAAGGTGAGGAACAGTTCTTGATTTTGCTCCTGACGTTTTTGTTGGATCTGCCTGGCAATGAAAACCAGTGCCCTGGGATGGTTATAAGCCGCACTGGGTTTCCTCGGCAA